TTTCATAGCTCTCTCTATATTTGCGTTTATGTTTAACGACACAAAGTTTGGCGCCTCTGTCCGACCGGTTCGGGTCGTAGTATACTTTGACGACACCATTGGAAGAGCCGCACAGTATCTGATTGAGCTTCGGGTGCCACGACGACCGGATCACCGCTCCCGCACTCACCGCTATTTCGTGCTTTAGTTCGCATGTGTCGCGCGAATACAGCACAAGTCGTCCAAATTCTTCGCCCTTAAGACACGAAACACCGGTTCCTATGAGTCGATCGTCGGGCGAAAAGAAACAGTCCGTCATTGAGAAGCGATTGAAGAGCTCTTTGATCTCAATGACGGGTTTCTTAAGCATTTTCATGTCCCACAACTTGAGCGCGTCGTCAGTGCCGCGACTTAACAGACAGTTGCCGTCGTATGAGAACTGAATGGAAGTGATCTCCGATCCCTTGGTGTGAGCCTCGCGTACCAAAGCCGTCGTATTGACATAACTTCTTCTGGTGTCCCACATCTGAACGCTTCCGTCATTACAACCGCAACAAATGAGTTCAGTATTACGGGTGAAACGGCATGTGTTGGGAGCGGCGCGCAAACCGCCCGACGATCGGGGCTTTAGCACCGCTTTATGGGTCTTCAGATTCTGGAGGTCCCACAGCCGACACGTGCCGTCGTTAGAACACGTGGCGAACTGTTGTTTGTCCCGTGGATTCCAACCGCCGTCGTTCAGCATCGCTACGTGTCCTTTGGTGTGACTCATGTCTGTTATGTATTGATCCCCTTTCACGGTCTCCCCCTTCACGAACCCATCCCTGTCCACGATCTTCGCGATACAGGCGCCCGATATCACCAGAATTACGTCTCCGTTGGCCGAGAACTCCAGATTCTTAATGGGATGGCATTCACACGGAGTGATCGCCCGGAATGACTGCAATGATGAGTCCATTCCCTGGAAGTCCCAGAATTTCATCTCATAGTCAACCCCTCCCGACACAACTCGAGAACCGTTCGGATCCAAAGCCAATGCGGTCACAGATTTAGAGCCATGGATTAGTTCAATCTCGTGACTAATCGGCATAACATCGTAACGACTACCAGAGCCTTCTTCGTAGTCGTCTTCGCCATCACTCGACTCGTCGTCGCTTTTGTTTCTCTCTTCTGTGGCCTCAGAAGAATCCAATTGAAAACCGGGCGGAAGTGGCGGTCCGATGAGGTCTGAGTCCGAATCCGATTCCTCTTCAGTCGCGATAACATTTGTCACGTTTTCAGTCAATTTGTTGTCACTTTTATTGTCTGATTTGGAGGTGTCTTCATCTGAAGCCTCTTTGTCCTCTGATTCCTTGTTATGGTCGGACTCTTGACTCGATTGTCCGAAAGTCTTCCACTTATTAGCATTCGGTCGTTCGGACAACAGTTTCTCGATATCAAACTTTTGGGCGCTTTTCGTCTCATTCTTTGTGGAACTCTTCGTTCGGCCGAACTTCGAAAAGCCCATCACTTTCGACATTTCCGTCTCTTCGGCGGTGTCTTCGTCGGCAAACGTGTCGTCCCTTTGTTTCAATAGTTTGGGAAACGTTTGGCTCTTTTTGTTGACTGAATTCAAGTCAAACTTATATCCCGTTATCTTCTTGTTGTCGACCGCTTCCATGCGTTTGTATTG